GAACTTTGAAAATTGCCGTACTTAACATAATATAAGCTAATATATCAGCAGAGTTTGAGAGGTCACTATGGACACACAATAATCATCTTCTGCCTCTTCTCACTATCGTTTTTCCAAAACATGCGTTAAGTAATTTTTCCTCATCTTTCTTAGCCGAGAAGTTATCACAATTCCTTTCCTTCAGCACTATTTGCACTGGTGGTAGTGGTGAACGTTCACATTTCTTCCGATTATTATATATCAAAATTCAATTTAACCTATAATGAAATTTACTTTACTCCTTTGAATGAGAGTTTGGCCGTGCGTGTGAAAACTTCCAATGGTTTTGCGAAAATTGAAGCCGATATCTTAATTATTGTGAACAGGGACAAACAACGCAATATGCTGATCAAGAATATAGTACTTTATGAAATCTCTAAAACTGTCTTCTAGCTGTTTCAAACGTTTTGAAATAATGAATCGCTGCCTTTCTGTGTTGGGTACAATAATTTTAAGAAGCATTCAGAGTTTGAAAAAATAACGAAAGTTATTAAACCTAATATCTTTACTAGCGGCTGTACATGTCTACCAGAATCATAAAACATTATATTACACAATAATTAAAAGCAAATCAAAAGCAAGTCGAAAATTGATGCTTCAAGTCTAAAATTTTACACTAGCAGTTATGTGGTACATTGCAATGAGATGCTTAGGCTTATATGGCTCTACATAGTAATGTATTTTTTGCATCAACCAATTGAATCTTAACATGCTAAGAAGGTAATCAGATTCAATAACGAGCTATGAAAACAACGGTGTACCCGGTGATGTTTGAATAATATCCGAGGATCAGTCAAAACTGTGTAAGCCGGCAAGGGTGATCAAATACCGTACGGTTTAAATTTATCCAAGCAAATTTATATGTTAAATCACTCCTCTACGACAATTTGTATCACAAAATACTATTAGGTCGTCAAGCACAAAATTTGTGAAAAAGAGCCACTTATAAATATAAGAAATTATTTTATTCATCAAAGTTTGCGCCCTTATTATCTGCACACTCTTCTAATTTAAGCGACAGATTGTTCAGGCCGATGGTATAAAATCCTGGCGGACGAGAGTTTAGGAATTATTAGAAGGCCAGTGATAGTGCATGAATAAAAAGTTTATTTAACTCTTTGATATTTAATGCATTGCTGCAATAATGGGCAAAACAAATTATGCGCCCTAAGTTGCGGATACTTGTGCAAATCTGTGTGTGCCTTTAAGAAACAGTAATACAATTTATTCTTTACAATGGTTTGAAAATTCTCATTTAAGGAGTTAAAAGGAACTCAAGAGTAAGCATCGAAGACAAATCACAAGAAAATATTGGTCTCAAAACTATTAAAATCGTCAACATACACAAACTTTGTGCTTACTTGTGTCAAAATCTGTCAATCCAACATTCTTTTCTGTGGAAGCGGTGCAGTTGCAAAAATTAAGATATCAAGTTAAGAAAGTTATCTCATGTATTTCTGATCGCATTAGAAAATTATGTCGAACAAAAAACACAACCAATTTCGGAAAAGAAAATTTACGTATGTTTTCATAAGGCTCATCTACAATTTTCGTCCAAAAATTATTTTGATGGACTTCTTAACACATCTACAATTGCAAAGAACAATCGTTTCGATGTGGCCACAATTTTTTGGATTCCACTTACATCAAGCCCATTTCAAATTGCAGCTTAAATTACTTATTATTCTAGGAAAATTTGAACACTACAATTGCTACAATTATACAAACATTATGATTCTTTAGCCGCCCATACATAAAGTTATAAGCATATCTTCGATATGAATGCACAATAATGAGCACGAATGCGTTCAAAATGATCAAAATTGATATTACCCGAACTTAACGAATTGAAAGCTTTCATATGTGTTCGCTTGCGCGTGATATCACATGAGCAGATGTTTTACCATGTTTGTTAAGCAAATATAAAGCAGTGAAGTAATAAATAGTCTTCTATTGCTACGCTCCAATGTGCTGTTTACTTTACTTTTCTTTTTGATGTAATGGCGTGTTAAATTCATAAGAAAATAAACGGCAAGAGTACCAATTTCTTTACAAATATGAATGCGTTTCTTATGCAGTCCCATCTACACAAACGTAATTAGATATAACTTAAAAATGTCGTTTCAGAATAATTTACATAGTGGCGCCATCTATTTTGGCAGGTAACTTAAGTACAGTGCTTTTTAACATATAATAAAAATAAGACAAGTTATTATTTTCACGCAGTGTGAGCTGAAAGGTTTAGTCGCTTTTCAAATGCTTTCCTGCCAAAAGAAATGTCACATTCACATAAGCAAAGGTCTCCCTCGTATGCTTTAATCACTGCAAATCATTTGTTCCCTGCATACCTATTTAAGTATATGCACACGAATGCATATAGGTATTTTGGAGTCATTTAATGGTTATCGGACAATTTGTTGCTGTGCATATCAATTAAAATTGCTTACGTTATCGCAAGAACAATATAAAGACAATGGATCTCAATATTATTTAAAAATTTAACTCAAGCGACAGCAAGTGACAATGGTTGAGAAAAGCTTCCAAATCGCAAGTAAAAAGTCTTTCAAGAAATTTTTAAATGCAAGTTATTGGCGTAATATGGGTGCACATAATGGGAGTTTCTATTCTTTTAAGCAAAGATTCACTAAAAGCGGTACCGTGACCGAAACAAAACGAACACTCTTTAGGCACGTCATTAGGCACGATTTTGTACATTCAATAATTGACAAATAACCTTTCCATAAACACAGGTAATTAGCTCCATTGAGCAATTTGCATATTATTCTTCAAAGTGCATATAAACATTGCACTAGCATTCATTTATTTATATTAATATCACCTAAAGTTTGCTATTATTCACAAATTTCTTATCAATATTTTGTTCGATAATGGAGGAAACTTTAAAAAGTTATAGGACAACATGTTAAGTTGTAGCTTAGGTTTCGTATGTACTAACAATAAACGTTTGTATGTCCTCTCTTTCAGTAAATTTTAAACCCAAGAATTTTATTAGTTACTGTGTTTATTATGATTTCATTGCTTCTTATTCCTGCACAGCAAACAAAAGAAGAAATCGTAGGCGTACCAATGATTCGTTTCCGGTTATTATGAGCGGATATTATAAAGTTCTAGCGTCTTCACATTGAACGTACAGCAAAGCAGCAGCTAACACACACGTATTTCTACATCTGTGCAAACATTATTTCAGAAACGTGCGAAAGAAATAATTGATATATTTTAGTGACCTTTAGCCTAGCCAAGAGAGTTCGTTCTTGTCTCGTTAAGCACGGGCTGAGTAAGTTTCTTTTCCTCCAGAACCATATGTGAATAATTATGGACACTTTTCTTTTCTCATTCTTTCAAAGTTGAAGGAAAAAGGAAAACAACAAGAATACTATCTTTGTGAAACTCGCACTATTTACTCGAGTGATTATGTTTGAATTCATGTACATTTATGCATAAACTCATTACGTTGTAAAAACACTGTATATAATCAGTACATAACGATATAAAGTGGGTCATGTGAGTTTATAGTAGAAATTTTTCCGAAAAAATGTTATTATAAACGTTTAGTAAACTGTAATTTATGATAATTAAAACCATTTTGACCGTCATCTTTTATAAATCTTAATAGGTTTTTGCTGCTGTTTTTAAAAGAAAAACGAATATTCTTTTTTCACGGCTAAGATCCCTCTTTATTTTTGATGCGCTGTTTGAAGTCATTTACTTCTTATGTTATGGGAGGCGGATTACCGTTATTTACAAACTTCGTCAGATATATATTACACACGTACATGCACTAAGATATCAGCTTTCAATGAAAGATCTGAACAGAAACTATGAACAAATCGAACGAAACTAATAACTGCAGATCCTTTTTCAATTAGATAATATAAGTAGGTAGAGCTTGGAAGAAACTTTTTAGGCCACTGAAGAATGGGTTCATAGTTATTATAAATAAAATTATTATATAATACACATATTTTTCATATTGAACTAACTAACCTGTCAAACTCTCCAAATCAATGCGTTATTTACAATTCAGTACCGTAGCCGGATAACCTGTTTTTAATTTTTATTATAAGAAGAAGCAGAAGAAGAAATTTATATTCGACTCTGTTCGAATTTTCTATACCCAACACATGTAACTTAAAAAAATGAAATTTTGACGTTTTGTAATATTGCGTGTCCATAGCCGATTTTTTCTACTTTTGTATAGGTACGATAGGATCGCCCAAGCACTAGACAAATCTTTATTGTTGTGCCATTTTTCCGTTTCTGAAAACAAAGATTTATGTCAGTTTATGTTCAATTGTTGGATGGTTTGCGCCCATTTGGCCCAGATTTGGCCGCATTTTTAATACCAACCAGCGTGGTTAATCTTCGGCCAGAAAACGACATACTTAAGTCGATTCAAAATTTAATACTAACTGAGTGTATATGTATACACTTTACAAGTTCCGATAAGCTTCGTTCTGGATGTTGCAACCGTTTTGGCAAAGTAAATACACAACAATAATAACTTACAAAGAGATGTGAGATCAGATTGCTCAGACTTTCAATAAAATAAATGAATAGTAAATCAACTTACCACATGGGCGCGGTTGAGTTCTTGTTCACATAAACTTAGTTATTGGGGAAAATACGAGAAATTTTAAGTACTTTTAGTTTTTCACGATTTGTTGCATGGAGGAATAGGATTGATAATAAATGTCTCTAAACAAGATTAAATATTTCTTTATCCTTAATTAACAAGATTAATTCTTAAATTCATATTGGGTTCACAACTAAGTAATTGACGATTTCATAAACATCGATGTCTCTCACTCCCATTTTTATGATATCCGTGAATGTTATGATCTTCTTCTTCTTATATAGGTTAACTGTCATCCTTACCTAACTTTACATTGTTCATTGAGTAGATGTTTTCTTAAAATTTTTTTTTTCACCGTAATATTAGCATGAAGTGCAATAAGGAAAATTTTCGCCTTACTTTGCTTTATTATTTCCGTAAAGGAAAGAGCGCAGTGCAACGAGCCAAAAAGTTACCTGATGTGTATGGTAACGAATTCCTTAAAGAAAGGCAATGCCGAAATTGGTTTGAAATTTTCCGTTCTGAAGATTTTTCTCTTAAAGATGACCTACGTTCAGGTCGACCAGTTGAGCTTAATGATGTTGCAATCAAAACCATCACCGAAGCGGTTCGTCATATAACTGCACGGGATTTTGCAGACAAATTAAATGTCTCACATATAGCCATTGAGAGGCATTGAAAACGTGTCGCTCACGTTAAAAAGCTGGATATTTGGGTTCCGAAAGATTTGAAAGAAACTCATCTGACAAAACCTTTCCGCGCTTGCAAATTATTGCTTAAATGCTATGAATTCGATCCATCTTTAAGGCGAATCATCATTGAAGACGAAAAGTGGATTGTGTACAACAATTTCAATCGAAAACGATCGTGATGCACGCCAAATGAGTCATCGCAAAGCACTTCAAAACGCGTATCCAACAAATGAATATATTGCTGTCAATTTGGTGGGATTGGAAAAGTCCGGTATATTTTGAGCGGCTTCGAAAAAACCAAACAATTAATCCGGATATCCGCTGTCTGCAACTACACAAATTGAATGCAGCGGTCAAGAAAAAAGCGACAAGAATTAGTCAATCGTAAAGGTGTAATTTTCTACTAGGGCCATGCTAGGCCGCAAACGTCTTTGGCTATTCTGCAAAAATTGATTGATATTGGTTGCGAATTGATTTTACACACACCATATAGCCCTGATCTCGCGCCATCGTATTACCACTTATTTCAATCCCTGGACAACTTTTCTCGTGGTCTCACTTAACTCAGTTTTGTGTAGAATTTTCAAGTTGTCAGAGAGATGGCAAAACATCGTCGAACAAAATGGAAAATACATTATAGATTAAAGTTCATTCCACGTTAAAAAGAAGAGTCTTTTATTTCATTGAACAAATCGGCAATTCCTTAGTTACCAACTCAATATAAAGGTAGCATATCCTATACCACAAACGGTGTACAAATACCGTTATATCGTGATATAAAGTGGTATTGAACGGCCACATGTTCTTTTCTGACATATTTCCAATCCCTTTGGAGCATGTGTAACGAATTTTATTAAATAAATACAAAAAATCCTTTATTATATTCGTCACTTACACTTGAAATTTTTTTATAAACATTTAATTAAAAACTTACGCTCGTATATGCAAATTTAAGCGCACATCTACTTGTTTATCGGTGTGAGGTATATACTTATAAGTTTTGTCATTAAAAGAACCGATATATTTGTTATGACATATGATCGACTTTAAATATACACGGCGCAAGTAAAAATACAATAAGTGCAACAACAACACCTACCCGTACTGGAAAAAGTAATCGGATATTTAAGTGGTTTGTTATTGTTGCAATTACTATATAACATTATGTAAAGCTACGGTTAATGTAGAGAAAATAATACAGTAAACACAAACTATGCAACGTGACATGTGCCCACGTTGCTAATGCAGATAGGAGATGTGTGAAATCCGTGAAATCGTATTATACAATTTAAAGATTTTTCGTTTTGAGCAAAATAAACGATAAGTGTCATTATTGATACTATTTGTTATTAATATGTTATTTTATTTTTAAAGGAAATATCTTTGTTCCTAAAAGTAAACTTCCAGTTATTACTAGTCTGGTAATTCAACTCTCGCAATGTTAAGTCCGCTCTGTAGCTCGCTACTTAATCCGTGAAAGGTTACACAATCGAGATATTATAAGAAGCACTTTATGCATGGAAAAGTATTAAAAATAACAGCCCGCGAACGAATGGCCAAAATGTAAGCCTTCAGGTTATGTCTTTAATTGCTTGTAGTTTCCCCAATCCATAATACAAAAAATTTCTGCCTGTCATCAAGTTTTAAGCTTTTGATCTAAATGTAAGACAGATGTTTTTTTCCAAATAAAACGCTAAACAATATAGTGATTGAAATTATTTGGACGTCTTCAAGTTCTAAATTTTTATGAAATGAAAAGCTTTTTTTTCCGTATAATTTTCGGTATAATTTGTTTAGTGCAGCCCCAAACGTAGAACTACAACAATGCTCACTTTTTTTTTTATAATAAATCGCATGTTCCAATGAGACACGTTAATAATTGCGATGAATCATCTCAAGTTCTAGGAAAAGCATAAAGTCAAGTAGATTTGTCATCGTGAACTTGTATAAACGAACTGCAAGTAAGTCGAACGATTGTTTTTGTAGACATTTTTAAGAATTTAAGATTTAGCTGCACATGCACACAGGGAGACATGCCTGCATCAATATGACTTAATCTAAACGACTTGTTGACCTAATTCAATAAATTGAGAGAAAGAATACGATTTTCTAATCCAATTTAAATTTCAATTCACTATGTGAGATATTTTCTTGGGATAATTAACTACACCGCAACTCGAGGCTTGTAATAATGAATAAAAAGTGTGTATGGGCAGAAGTGAGTTCGAAAGCCAACTGATTTAAACATTTACAATTTATCTGACACAATGATAACGTCCTTTTGTTCTTTGTATTATTGAACGAAACGTAATCAAAACAATGTTCTAATTAAAACTATATGTTCAAGCATATATCGGTTACAAGTTTCATTTCATTTTTTTGGAAAGTCAAGTTTTGGTTTTAACTTTGATAATTGTATTATAAAGTAGCTGCGTTGTCAAAACCTTTTACTTGAATTTCATTTTTTGTGTTTAGTTTGTATATATATTTCTTGTTTCTTAATGTCTTTCCTAAATTCCCAGTCATAGGTTCTTTATTGTATCGTCGGTTGTATATGATTTATTTGTACATAGTTCTACACATGAACATGTATACTCAAGCAAGCGACTCTTTGTTTTTAAACTTAGATGACCCAATTACATGAGAAGTACATAAAACCATGAACAAAGGCAGACACAAAAACGACAAGATCATATGTGTATAATTTATGAGTTAATGTTTTTTGTATTGTAAGTGTAGTAGTTTAAATTGCTGTTACCTCTTCACTCTGCAATCTATGAACACTGCCCTTGCAGTTGCTTCCCGCGTAATAGAAAACTTTGTGAGGGTCAATTAAAAGGACATGCCCCCAAATTTGCAAAACAGTTTGTTAAGTTTAACCAACACCAACTGAACATACCTTATGGTAGAAAATAACTCAAAGTTTTTAGGTGTTATAAAATTTTAAATGACACGAAATTGTTTATGATAAACAGTATGTTTCCCAAACAGTTATAGCAAGATGACATTGATTGTCGACAGCTGAAGATTAAATTAAGAAAATTAAAGCCTTAGGCATTTTTTGAGAAAGAGAGAAGAAAAAATATTTTTGTAATAACTTAGACAAAAAAACCTCTTCTAAATACGTCTCAGTTTCGGAAGCCCAGGGCGACACTCAATAATAATAGATTTGAAACACTTGTTAAGCCGTCGCACAATTTTATTTTAATGTCACTAGAAATCTTTCATTGCCGATCAAAAAGATATTAACAGTAGCTTTAAATCCTTTTTCAACACAGAACGTCGACATTTCTTCTTTCTTCATCCACTTATGTCCAACGTTCAGCGGTCATCCCAAAAATGTTCCCCCCTTTAGACAAAGAAAAAAGGAAGCAAACAAAACAGAGACCAAGAATTGCCAAAAGACACCCATTAATATTCCTCTTTGCCTTAAGAGAGCCCTTTCATCAACATAGGAGTCACGGATCGAGTTCGATATGTTCATATGACACATACTTAATATGGCTACGAAAATGCCTCTAAACATTGAAGCTAAACCAAGAGAAAGCAGTTTCATCCTCTATTATCGTTTATAGAGTTTTGATTATGTAGAAGAACATCACATTATTTATAAGGTAAACTAGTAATTCGCTCAGGAAATGATGACGCATTTTAGTATGGGGTATGAGATATTTATAACACAGCGCTAGCTACCCTGCAGACGTTCGCACTAAGTAAATTCGGAATTCAAAATATCAGAATTAAAATTACTTTCAATATCATAAATGTATTATTTTTCTATTTCTTTTAACCGCTCGCAAAAAATATTTCCCCACATAAAAAACTGTGAACCACGTTTGCATTGCCTAGAATAAAAATCTATAAGCAAATATAACATAATTAGATCAGAGCCGTATCGTAAATAACACGAATTATATTAATGAACAATAAGATAGAAATACATGTAAGTTAAGTGGTGAGACAAGATGGTTGTTTGGACAGATAGTGTTGGGGAGACTATTATTTGCCCGCCTTTTTTCAAAAGTATTGAAAGTTTACTAAAACAGCAACGGTACAAAGATATTTTATTCAAAGAGCGGGTAATCTTTAACTTTTATTTTTCAACCGTTCAACGTGTTTGAACGTTGCCATAAGAATGGAAGCACTGTTCAGATATCAGATAAGTCGTTGACTGGAACAACTCTCAGCGACACGAACATTCGGCTTTATCTTCAACATTCACTTTTTAACACCCATCGTGATTCAATAAGCAATATTCTCTTTTGCATTAAACAGGGAAGGTAACGCATTTCGTCAACAACTACTTTTCACAAAAAAGTCGACGTAGCCAAAGTTTAGAAAAATTATTTTGTATGCACTTCTTATGCTGTAAAGACAAGGAAAATTTTCAGTATTATACAACATTCGACGGGCCATTCCGCATTGGAATTATATGGGAGAAAGCTCAAAACATAAACTGACTTGATCCAAATTTTGCACAATTTAGTTGCTTTTCAAAGATATTATTCGCTTGTTTTTACCATAAATCACTAAATCTTAGACTTCATTTCCATGCGAAGACTTATTTTACTATTAAGAAGAAGTCTTACACATGGTGATTGAGGCCGAAAACGTGGATCCATTTGGTCCAAATTTGATACTGTTATTAGCTATGTCGAAACATTAAAAGTTGGTCATTTTTACCACAGATAGGCTTATTTTACGTAGGAAGGATTACAGTGTGGGGAATTGGAGTCAATTTATTTAGAAACGTTTGGCAATTAACGAGCTATTTTAATGCAACTAGGTACATGAACATATTTTGGCCCAAGGACGAACGCTGTCGAAATGGTTTGGGTCGAACCATTTTCTTGACCACTTCGCATGTAAAACTTTATTTTGAAAAGCCATTATATGAATAACCGTATTAAGCGAAGCGGTGTAGGATGTTTAACGGTGCTCGGTGTCTCACTGCAGTGTTTTACTTGTTTCGTTGCTTAGTTCGCATGAAAGTAAAAGAGTAAAAAATAGAAAGAGAGAGAGAGAGAGAGAGACAAAGAGAACGAGACCAACGTGTCTGCATCCGAAAGAGAAAATGTGTCATGTCTTCCAAAATGCTTAAACTAAATTAAATGATATTATAGTATGCACACAGGGAACGTGAGCTAAAGTTTAAGGAATGGTAACTGAGATTAGGAAATATTGAAAGAAGATTGAGAATGCCTTTATTTACATAAAGATACGAACCCTTCCACACACATCTGCCTAAGAAAAACTTAAACAATCACTTCTGCTTCACATTTCGTGCTATTTACTTCTGTATTGGTAAGCGCGTGCTTGTCGCTTAACATCATATTGTACAATCGGAGATTACAATGCGGTGCTCTAGGAGATATAGAAAGTTCAACGCAGCCACAATTTCGAAGAATAGGAAAATATATAAATATGATGTACAATAAAAATGCAAATACTGCATATTAAAAAAGCGCATGCTTACGCAAGGTAATCGCACCTCATTTATTTCCTTGTCTGTACATTCACGACAATCTTAAAAGTAAAAAGTGAA